TCGGCTCTGAGCTGTCAATACAGAGACCGATGCCAGGCTGGAACTCACAAACCACAAGGTCATGACCTGAGCCAAAGTCAGATGCTCAACCCACTGAGCCACCCAGGTGCCCCTAGCAAGAGTTTTAAAAAACATTTTGTAATAACAAAAACAAGAAAACCTCTTTGACCTGCTGTTTCTATTTCTGCAATTTTACCCCCAACAAAATGATTCAAAACACGGAAAAAGCTTTGCAATAGCTTTAAAAAGCATGAAATAAGGAATTGGAAACAAGCTGAATATATCACAGTATAGTTAAATAAACCATACAGCATTTTCTTAGAAATATTATTCAGTCATTAAAAAATCTTTACAAAGGTTGTGCGACAGCATAGAAATGTATTCACGTATGTGTGAGATTACAACCGTGTAGGAGCAAAAAACCTATGCATAAATACTGGAAATAACAAAAATGTTACCTGCTTTTTCTGTTGGGTTAGAGAAATAAGAGTAAATTTTTTATTTTCCTGTTTTCCAAATTCTATTTAATGGTACATGAATTTTAAAATTTAATACCTACTTAAAAAATAAAAATAACGGGCTCTGTGCTGACAGCTAGCTCAGAGCCTGGAGCCTGTTTCGGATTCTGTGTCTCCCTCTTTCTCTCTGACCCTCCCCTGCTCACTCTGTCTGTCTGTCTCTCTCGGGAATAAATAAAACATTAAAAAAAATTTTTTTTAAATAAAAAATAAAAATAAATATCCACTGGAGCACCTGGGTGGCTAAGTCAGTTGAGTATCCAAGTCTTGATTTTGGTTCAGGTCATGATCCCAGGGCCATGTGATTGGGCCCCACTTTGGGCTCCACACTGTACCTGGAGCCTTCCTGAGATTCTTGCTCTCCCTTTGCCCTTTCCACCTCCCACCCCCATGTCCGTCTCTCAGGCTCTCTCTCTCAAAATAAAATTAAACATCTCCTAAAAATGTTGTCTGTTAGGATAATGAAATGGAAAAATAAATGACTTAAAAAGCATAGCAAGTACATTTACATTATAGTTATGACTGTTTCAAGTTTGCAGGCGGGGGGCAAGGGGAGAGAGGGAGAAAATGAAAGAAGATTCAAAGAAAAACACCAAGGGGTGCCAGGGTGACTCAGTTAAAGTCTAAATTGGCTCAGGTCATGATCTTGCCATTGGTGAGTTGGAGCCCCGCTATGGGCTCTGAGCTGTAGGCACAGATCCTGCTTCAGATCCTCTGTCTCCCTCTTACTCTCTCCCTCCCCCACTCACACTCGGTCTCTCTCTCTCTCTCAAAGATAAATAAACATTTAAAAAATTAAAAAAAAAGAAAAACACTGAATTACTAGGAAGGGCTGTATAATGTGAGATGATATTGTTTCTCCTTATTCTTTAAATTTCCTATAAGGCATTTATTTGTGTTACTATTATAATAAATGCTTTTTTGATACGTATACCTTGCTAATCACCCAGAAGCCCCCTACTCTGCTTCTAGGCCTCATCTCAGCTTGCTACCGGGACTTGACTTATATCAAAATAATGAGAGGTCTATAGAGCATTAAAATTCTATTGTGTCATGTTAGGATTTACCAAGACCACAGTTAGATGGGAAGCAAAGTTGCTGCAGTGACATTTCATAATATAGTTGAAAGAACATTGACTAGACCAAGAAATAACTCTGGTTCTATTTTGTGCATTATGTCCAGGGAAGTCACTGAGCTTCGTTTCCTAATTCCCAAAGTAAAAGGGTAAGATCACTTGTAGCAGCTCTAATTGTAGGTCATGTACAGAAAGGTGAGATCAGAAAAGTCAGACCTGAGTAGAAATGATGGAGGAAATTAGTCAAAACTGCAGCAAGACCTCAAGAGTTTGGGAAACCATGTACTAGGTTTACTAACTCTCAACTAGAAAACTACAGAGGAACTAAAGAACTCAATAGTGGGTTGGGATAAGGGGCGCCGGGGTGGCTTAGTCGGTTAAGCGTCCGACTTCGTGGGTTCGAGCCCCGCGTCGGGCTCTGTGCTGACTGCCAGCTCAGAGCCTGGAGCCTGTTTCAGTCTGTGACTCCCTCTCTCTCTGACCCTCCCCTGCTCACGCTGTCTCTCTCTCTCCTAGAAATAAATAAAACATTAAAAAGAAATAAAAAAAAAAATAGTGGGTTGGGATAAGACCTGGAATTTCCCAAAATTCTGGGCAAATTTAGACAGAAGTCCGAGTAATGGCCCAGAGCACTAGCAACAGGGCTTCGAAAACAACATAGGAATTTTTCACTCTATTTATTTATTCATTCATTCATTCATGAGAGAGAGAGAGAGAGAGAGAGAGAGAGAGAGAGAGAGAAAGAGAGAGCATTCGCACACAGGGGAAAGGAACAGAGGAAAAGAGATGGAATCTTAATTGGGCTTCATGTTTAGCACAGAACCCCAGCAGGGCTCCATCCCACAACCGTAGGATCATGACCTACAGAAATCAACAGTCGGCCACTCAACCTACTGAGCCACCAGGCAGCCCATGGATTTTTCACTCTAGCCAAAACAGAACTTCACATTAGGAGCTGGGCACATACATGGGGTTTAGGTTGGCACTCCAGGCTAGAATGAGAATGTGGAGAACACTGCAGTTCCAAGTATATGAGTGTTCCAATGAGAAAATACTGTGAGGAAACCCAAAAGGCTCATTTAGTTCTGGGAGTCAAAGTACTTCTCAATTAGCACTGCCCAATAGAATCTTCTCAAACAATGGAAATATTCTTCATCTGTGACATTCAATTATAAATAGTCACTGGGAACATGGGACTATTGAATGGAAATATCCAAGTCCAACCAAGGAACTGAATTTAAATTTAATTAATTTTATTTTAAATTTCAATAGTCACATATACAACTAGGGGCTATCACATTGAGCAGTATAGCAAAGGCCTAACACAATCCAAAGGTTCTTTTTAAATATAGCCAAAACATACCTAATGAAATAAGAATCTTTAAAAAAAATTTTTTTACATTTATTTATTTTTGAGAGAGAGAGACAGAGCACAGTGAGGGAGGGACAGAGAGAGAAGACACAGAATCAAAGCAGGCTCCAGGCTCAGGGCTGTCAGCACAGAGCCTGACATGGGGCTCAAACCCAAAAACTGTGAGATCATGACCTGAGCCGAAGTTGGACGCTTAACCAACTGAACCACCCAAGCACCCCAAGAATCCTTTTTTTTGAATATGAAGCATATTGCGTTTTTGTTTGTAGCCTGTATGTATACATGTTGTGTGTAGTAATTTAATAGTCTAATAAAAAGTTAAATCAATTCTGTGAATTTTACAATAATTCATACCCTTTCCAAAGTAAACCTAGATTAATCACATTCTGGGCTCAACGTGAAGATGTATTCACCCAAGATGAAGCAGAAACCACCTCAGCCCCAAATGACCTTCTAAATTAAGGAAAAAGTGAGACACAGCAATAGCAGGGCTATGAAGACAGTTCTTGGGCCTGACTTCATCTGGAGTTTAGACTAGATTTGGGCTTTGGAATTTGGAAGGGCACAGCTATTCCTTCAATGGCACTCATAACAGAATCAGTGAGTGCAAACAAGGATGTTCCTAACTGTAGACCATCCCTAAGTTTCCTACAAGCACAATAAATTGAACCCCGTAGAGTCAACTTCTAGATTTCTAGACTGGACTCCAGACTGAAAAATCCAGACATATTCAAACTTATTCCTACTGTGATACAATGAAGAAAAGAGATAATCCAATGCCAAAACAGGTTTATTGGTTATTGTACTCAATAGAATGTGAGAAATTTGCAAGTATTCAATATAAAAAGGGCTCAGTACCAGCTGCCTTCCTTTCACCCTAAGAAAGTATACCAACTGGGGCATCTGGCTGGCTCGACTGGTAGAAAATGTGACTCTTGGCCTCAGGGTCATGAGTTCAAGCCCCACAATGGGTGTAGTCTACTTAAAATGAAAAACATTTTTTTTACTTAAAAAAAAGTATACCAACTCCAGGCAAAAGAGGGGAATCAAACTTCAAGTTTACATAATAAACATACTGAAAAGAAGCCTCTGCTGTGTTACAAAAATGGACAAAACCTTCAAAAAGTAAATGGAATCAAAAGAAATTAAACCTGGGATACTGATTCCTGTAATAACATTAACTAGTGTCTGTCTATGACATAAGACAGACAAAACATTAAAATTCAAAAATAATCACTATTTTTTCAGCCTTTTTGAGGTACAATTGACAAATTAAAGTTAATATTTTAAGAAGGAAAAAAGTACTGGTAAAGTTATTAGTTAGCAATTTTTAAAGAACTTACTAGTAAAAAGTTTTACCATCCTCCTTCAAACCAAAAAATACAACAAAAGTTTAAAAGTAGGGGCACCTGGCTGGCTCAGTCAGTAGAGCATGTGACTCCTGATCTCGGGGTTGTGAGTTAGAGCACCACAATGGGCATAGCGCTTAATTATAAAAAAAAAAAAAAAAGTTTAAAAGCATATGCTTCCAGATACTAGGCCCAAGATTTTTCCCCTCCTCAAATCCTCTAAACCCAAATTATAAGAAATAATTTGCTCTGACCACTGGGAATATTTCCACACAGTGACATAATAAAAACATTTACTTCTTCCAGTATTTAACTTATTCATTTCCATCCTAATCAAATTCTAGGCGTACAAGTAAGCACGAGAATATCATTTTCCCTAAGGCTTTCCTTCATGACTGAGGCAAAACTAAATTTCCAACATGACAAACTTAAGCACTGAGAAGTTCCTATTGGTATAGAAAGCAAGCCACCTTCGTGGTCTCATAAACAAATTGAACATTTTTTTTTTAATGTTTTATTTATTTCTAGGAGAGAGAGAGAGACAGCGTGAGCAAGGGAGGGTCAGAGAGAGAGGGAGTCACAGACTCTGAAACAGGCTCCAGGCTCTGAGCTGGCAGTCAGCACAGAGCCCGACGCGGGGCTCGAACCCACGAACCGCGAGATCATGACCTAAGCGAAAGTCAGACGCTTAACCGCCTAAGCCACCCAGGCGCCCCCAAATTGCACGTTTCTAAGACAGATCTGGAGAGGGATTTATCCAAGAATCAGTTTTCTCCAAGGCTGGACAGGGAGGAAGTGTGGGAAGCACAGCCTTTCTAAAAGGATGAAAGGTGTCACTTGGAGATACTCTGATTTCCTGAGGAAGGGAAGGAGACACTGAAGCATCTTGTTTTGTGCATTTTAGATCTTCCTGGTTTTGCACCATCAGTAACTGTTCTATCTCCTCTTTCAAAGATAAGTTTGTCTGAAACTCCCGTTTGCATATCTTACTGTGTTCTTTTTGGGCTATTCTCTTGTCCTCTAGCCTCTCTGACTCACGGCAAATGAGTTTATTGATAGAATCCTCGATGGTGTCTTCCTTTATGGGAGGTAGATGTTGAGGTTCTGTTGAAAATTGTTTATTCTTAGATCCTTCTTTCAGCAAATTTACATGATGATTTTCATCTAGTGCAAAATTTTTACCAAGTAAGGAAACCCCCACTTTTCCCTGTTTCCCTGCTGTCTCTGGCACTGATTTCTTTGGATGTGCTATTGTCCTTATTAGGAGTCCCTGTGCATTCACCCTATATTCTTTTGCAGCTCTCTCTCTGCGCTGCTTCTGGAAATCCTGGAGTTGAAGAAGTTCTTCCGGAAGCTCCATACATGTAGGCTAAGAAAAGAAAAGGAATACAAGTCTGCTATAACTAAACTTCTAAGTATGGTCCTTAAAATCTCTTCCACTACGCTTAACAGTATTTAGCAAGGGAGGATCAACTCAAATGTGTTCTTATAGCTCCCTCTAGTGTATTCAACTCTAGTAGTACTTTTTTTTTTTTTTAATTATTAACTTAAATATATTTTAACTTTTTTAAATGTTTTATTTATTTTTGAGAAAGAGACAGAGACAGTGTGAACAGGGGAGGGCTGGAGAAAGAGGGAGACACAGAATCCAAAAACAAGCTTCAGGCTCTGAGCTAGCTGTCAGCATAGAGCCTGACATGGGGCTTGAACTCACGAACCGTGAGATCATGACCTGAGCCAAAGTCAGACACTTAACCAACTGAGCCACCCAGGAGCCTCAAATATATTTTAACTTTATTTTATTTTTTCTAAACTTTATTTATTTTGAGAAAATGAGAGAGAGAGAGAAAGAGAGAGAAAGAACAGGGGCAGAGAGAGAGGGACAGAATCCCAAGCAGGATTCCTCACTGTCAGTGCAGAGCCTAAGGTAGGGCTCAAACTCACGAACCATGAGATAATGAATGAGCTCAAGTTGGAGGCTTAACCGACTGAGCCATCCAGGCATCCCTTAACTTAAATATTTTGAATCCACAGTTGTGTGTGTGTGTGTGTGTGTGTGTGTGTGTGTGTGTGTGTATGTTGTGTTATGCGTGTGTGTGTGTGTGTGTGTGTGTGTGTGTGCATGTTATAAAGATAACACAGTGAGAAGTAAGTGCTCCTTCCAACCTGGTCCCAGTTTCCTTAGCAAGTGCATCTTCTAAAAACAATTTCTTATGTAGCCTCCCAAAGACAGTCTATGCATCTGTGATCGTGTACATATAAATGTCCCTTACTAAATGTTTATCTTTTCATTGGACTGCATTTTTCAATTTTTGTTTTCCCTCAAAATTTATTTATCAAGTCTTTTAATAATTATTTTATACAAATGGTTAACAGTATTTTTTAAACCAAAAAGTTGGTCTCGGAGATTCTTCTATATTAGCATTTTTAAGGGCTGTATTGATATGCCATAATTTATTTAACCAAATCCATATAGATGGATATTTGGGTTGTTTCCAGTATTCTGTTATTACATAAATGCTACAATAAAGAATATACATGTAAAGAAAATGTCCTCTTTGTTACATGAGGCAAATAATTTTTCCCAGGTTGCTGGCGTTTTGACTTTCTTCACGGTATTTTCACCAAACAAAAACTTTAAACTCAAATTTATTAATCTTTTATGATTTCAGAGTATTTCTGCATTGCATAGAAAGCCATTCCCTCATACAGCTCAACAGCAAAAAAGCAAATGGTAATCGAATTTAAAAATGAACAAAGGACCTGAATAGGCATTTTTTCCAAAAAGACATTCGAATGGCCATTAGGTATATGAAATGTATCTGACATCACTAATCATCAGGAAAATGCAAACCCAAATCACAATGAGTTATCACCTCAGACGTATGAGGATGTTTATTATCAAAATGATGGCAAGAATGTAGAAAAAAGGAAACACGGACAGTTGGCGAGAATACAGTACGGAAGTGCCTCAAAAACTTAAAAATAGAACTACCCTATCGTCCAACAATCTCACATCTGGGTATATATCCAAAGGAAATGACTTCACTATCTCAAAGAAACATCTGCACTTCCTTTATATTGTAGCATTATTCATAAGAGCCAAGATATAGAAACAATTTGAGTCTATCAATGCATGAGTCGATAAAAAAAATCACACACACACACACACACACACACACACAGAAATATTATTTAGCCATAAAAAAGAAGAAAACCCTGCCATTTGTGACACGGATATGCTTAGAAGGCATTATGTTGAGTGACATAAACCAGACAGAGAAAGACAAATACTGTATAGTATCACTTAAATGTGGAATCTTAAAAAAAAAAAAAAAAAAAAAGCTAATTTCATAGAAACAATAGAAAGGGGGTTGTCAGAGGGACTGGGGGGAGGGGAAAAGGGGGAGATATAGGTCAAAGGGTAAAAACTTTCAGTTACAAGAAAAATAAATTTTGAGGGTCTAATGTTCAGTATGGTAACTATAGTTAATAATTTGGTATTGTATACTTGAAAGTTGCTGAGAGCAGATCTTCAGCATTTTCACCAAATATGCACAGAGTTAACTATGTGAGGTGAATGTGTTAATTATCTTACTGCCGATAATGATTCCCACAATGTATATGTATATCAAATTTTCACAATGTACATTTTAACTATATACAATTAATTTTATCAATGATTTCTCAATGAATTGGGGTAAGGGGAAGAAAGCATTCCTTCTTGTGAAATAATTTTCTTTTAACTTTTTTACTAATAATTTTTAATCCCACTGTTTAGATAAATATTTGATCCAAGGAGTTTATTTTGGTAATAAAAGAAATAGTAATCCAATTCTGATTTTCCTCCCCTACAAGAGGCAGTCAATTGCCTAAAGGCATTTATTGAATAATTATCTTTTTTTCATTAATTGGAAATAGTTTATCCCAACCATACTGGTAGATATATATTGGAGCTACTGCTCGGTTCTCTACTATTTTCCATTGATATGCCTACACATGTGTCAGTCACAAACTTTTAATTTTAATTTTATATTTTTGTTTTTAACTAATTTCTGCACCCAAAGTGGCAAACTCACAGCCCTGAAATCAAGAGTTATATGCTCCACCGACTGAGCCAGCCAGGCGCCCTGCACTTGTTTTATCTAACATAGACATAAATGTTTTCGTATCTGACAGGATTATTCTTATTTATATTTATCTTTATAAACACTATAATCACAGTTTGCAAAATGCTGCTGCTGATAATATTTTTCTTAGAATAGAGATAAATTCAAAAGTCAATTTAGGAGTAACTGATTGCTAAAAATGCTTAGTGTCCCCATTTATTTAAGTCCTCATTTATGCCATTCAGTAATATTTTAATGTTTTCTTTATCTCTTTATTTTACATTTCTTTAAAGACTTATTTCTAGATACTCTACCTTTTGTTACAATCATACAAATGAATGTTTTTTCCCATTATCTCTAGCTGTGTGTATGGATATAGGAAAGCTATCAGGTTTTATATTATATCAGAACTCATTTTATAATATTGTTCCTTTGGGGCAATCTTTTTCCACTTATTTTCTTCAGTTTTCAGTTGTATCATAGACCAGGCATAATTGTGATTCATCCTGTTCAATTTCTGTAGTACGTCTTTTTTCTCCCCCAATTTCATCGGCTAATAGCTTCAAAAAAAATGTTAAAGTAGTGGTGGTAGTCACAATTTTTGTATTTTCTTGTTATTAACGGGAATGGTTTTAGTGTTCCCAATCATTCTGTAGACTTCTTGCTTGAGATATATATTTTATCATGTATTCCAACTTTAATCAGTAATGTATACAGAATATTATCAACTTTTTTCAGCATTAAAGTGAAAGCAAAATACATAAAGTTATAAAACTTCTTGATTTTACGATGATAAATGACAGACATTTAAATTCTCCAATTGAACCAGATACACAAGGATTTTTATATTTTGTTGTTGTTGTTAAACAGAACAAAATACAGAAAAGTTATGTGGGTTTTTTTTTCAGCATACATGAGATAACCATAAGACTTTGATTGTTCCAGTAAAATGGAGAATTTCCTAACAGTAAAGTAGAAACCAGCAACATGTTGAAAGTATAATACATCTAAATAGGGATCATACCAAAAATGTTATTACTTTATTTAGGATTTTGCTTCAGTACTCCTAAGTGAGAATGGCTAATAGCAGCAGACTGTAACCCTTTTATATAAAGAGCCAAAGAGTAAATATTTTAGCCACAAATGGTCTCTGTTGCATACTTTTTTTTTTTAAACAATCTTTTAAAACTATAACCATTCTTACCTTCGAGCTGCATAAAAACAATCTGTGGGCCAGATGTGGCCTTAGGGCTATAGTTTGCCAACTCCAGGTCTATAGTTCTGTTACATTGTGCTGGCTTCTAAAATACTAGTAAATTTAAATCTTAAATTTATTCATTCTTTGACAGAACATAACTTAATATTGTGAAAAAGTACTCAAAGAGATGAATTAAGCCCAAGCTCTAGCCCCTTCAAAAATATTTTTTACTAAGTTGGCCTCATGATTTGCTGTAGCTGTGAAAAGTGGGCATCACTGTGTCCTCCATGAGGAACAAGGCAGAAGTGGAAGTCCTAAAAACACAATCACAGAGAGCTGTACCTACCTCCGTGCCTCCCAGGCGATCTGCGGACCCTTCTCGATAGGTATTTAGATAACCGTCCACAAGGGTGGTTAGGTCAGACATCATCTCATCCAGGAGTACCAAACGAAGGGGTAGTAGGTAGGTGGCCTCAAGGGCCAAAATTTTCAGTAAAGGGGGTGAAAGAGGTCGTGTGAACCACACTTCTGGATTTTCCTAGAAATACCAAAACAATTTACTCTGAATAATACGCAAAACTTTAAAGAAAGTAACTTTCTCTAAGAGCTGCTTAAAAGTCAGTGTCATTTTCTTTAGCTACTACCTTCTATTTTCACACTCTGGCTAGCCTTCTGAAAATATACAGACAGACAGACACACACACACACACACAAACACACACACATTTCATATATGTATGAGTGTATATGTTAGAGGGAAAAGATGGAGTGGGAGAGAGAGAGAGATGGGTCAATTGATCCATCAATCAATCAGGACTTCTCACTCAAAACTGAAGTAGACTTGATTATAGGACCAAAACTGAGGTCAATATAGTCATAAACTCAGTTTGTAGGCAGAGCTATTAGCAGCTAAGGAAAATTTACCTTACTTTTAGAGAAATAATTGGGATGATTTTTGTTCCATCACCTAATCCATACTCCCAACAAAATCCTCCCCTAGAGAACTGCAAATTTATTTCAGAGTACAAATCTGAATCCTTACTTTTATTCACTTGAGATCACAAACTGTTTCCATTTGAAACAACTAAGATTTTGGCAATGCTCATATGCTTACATAGCAACTGTCAGTTTTCTACATAATACGCTGATAATCCTGCTCACAAAACACTTGAAAAAATTAACGTCATGTGGGACATTCTTGAATACCTACCTGAATCAATTTTTGTCTCTCTTCCAGAAAGGAGAGATATTTAGGGGCTATCTTAAGGTGTCTGATTAAACTCTCCTGTAAAGAACTGATGCAATTTGGAAGAAAGCCACCTGTTTCCATGGAAAATTGAAGGACATCTGCTACCTGTGCCACAAAAAAAAAAAAAAAAAAAAGACTTGTCTATAGAATATAGAATATTTTTAGAGAGCTATCTCATGGCAGAAATAGAAATATATTTAGAAAAATGTCATTAAATACCATTTTCCCCAAAGACCCACACGATAGATAATGCCAACAGAAAAGATGTTCAGTCAACTTATTATTTTTTTAACTTATTTTTTATTTTTTAAGGTTTTCTTTATTTTTGAGAGGGAGAGAGACAGAGCACAAGTGGGGGAGGGGCAGAGAGAGAGGGAGACACAGAATCAGATACAGGCTCCAGGCTCTGAGCTGTCAGCACAGCTGACAGGGTTTGAACTCACAAGTTTTGTGATCATGACCTGAGCCGAAGTCAGACTCTTAACCAACTGAGCCACCCAGGCACCCCTCAGTCAACTTATTCTTAAAAATTAGGAGGAAAAAAACTTTAATGTATCCTTGTCTACTTTGTCTTCTACTCCTTTTATTTGTCTGCCTTACAGCTATCTATTACTCTATTACCTTGAGACATGGGGAAAGGAAAATAAATTTCAAGAAGTATTTGTATTACTCATCAGCAAATCTGGCAAAGTTTTGGTAAGGAAAGCTAATAAAATTAAGAAATGGAAGGACACCTGACTGGCTTAGTTGTTAGAGCATGCGACGACTCTCGATTTCGGGGTTGTGAATTCAAGCCCTATGTTGGGTGTAAAGATTACTTAAAAATAATAAGATTTTTTTTAAAAATTAAGAATTGGATGAGTTATTTAATCTATGTGTGGCAGGCTAACTAATAGCCCCCAGAGACATCTACATGCTAACTCCCAGAATCTGTCAATGTTATCTTCTATGGCAAAATGACTTTGTATGAGTGATAAAGGTAAGGATATTGAGGTAGGGAGATTGTCTTGAATTGTACGGGTGGGCCCTAAATGTAATAATAAGAGGAGGTGCAGAGAGATTTGACTCCAGTCACTGGAGAAGGTGATCGGTGATGGAAGCAGAGGTTGCATTGGTGCACTCTAAAGATGGTAGGAACCACAAGCCACAGAATACAGATGACAGCTGAAAAGGCAGAGAAAGAGACTACCCTCAGAGCCTTCAAAAGAAACCAACCCTGCTGACATCTTGATGTTAGTTTAGTGAAAATGATTTGAGACTGCAGACCTCCAGAACTGTAAGAAAGTAAATTTATCTTGCTTAAGCTACTCAATTTGTGGTGGGTTGTTACAAAAGCAATAGGAAATTAATACATTGTGTTAAAGGGAAAAATCAGAAAAATTCTGAATTCCTGCTTCTTATACTATGGAAATATGAAAAGAAAATATGGAAAGATATGCCAATGTCTCCACGTGGGATTTAATCAAAAAGCCTAATGTGCTGACAGCTCAGAGCCTGGAGCCTGCTTTGGATTCTGTGTCTTCCTCTCTCTCTGCCCTCTCACACTTGTGATCTCTCTCTTTCTCAAAAATAAATAACCACAAAAAAGAAGAAGCCTAATATAATGCCCTCAGGAGAACAATGAAAAATTCTCTTACATTTAAAAAAAAATTTTTTGACTTTATTTATTTGAGAGAGGGAAGGAGAATGAGGAGGGGAGGGACGGAGACAGAGGGAGACAGAGAATCCCAAGCAAGCTCCTCGCTGTCAGCGTAGAGCCAGATGAGGGCTTGAACTCATGAACTATGACATTATGAGCCAAAACCAGGAGTCATACTCATCACTGACTGAGCCACCGAGGCACCCTTCATTTTTCAAGAAGTTTTTATTTTTTATTTTTTAAAAATATTTATTTTTTAGAGAGAGAGAGCATGTGCAAACAGGGAAGGGATAGAGACAGAGAGAGAATCCCAAACAGAGACTCCACGCTGCCAGCACAGAGTCCGACGAGGGGCTCAAATCCACAAGCTGTGAGATCATGACCTGAGCCAAAATCAAGACTCAGATGCTAGATGCAAGACTCAACCAACTGAGCCACCCAGGTGCCCCTTAAATATTTTTAAAAGAGAGCATGCACACATTCACACACATGTGTGCACACAAGCAGGCAAGGGGCAGAGGTAGAGAATCTTTTTATAAATATATGTATTTATTTTTGGAAGAGAGAAAGTGGGAAGGAGGGGCAGTGAGAGAAGGAAACAGGATCCAAAGTGGGCCGAAAGCAGAGAGGCTGACACGGGGCTCAAAGTCACAAACCAGGAGATCATGACCTGAGCCAAAGTTGGACGTTTAACTGATTGAGCCAGCCAGGCACCCCTATCTCTTACATTGTGGAGTAAGCTAGAAATAGTCTCCATATAGTGAAAGATCCTGAAAGAAGGTTCAAGGAACATGTAAACAAGAGAAGTGGCATAAAGTTCATTATGAGCAGATACATAAAGAGCAAACATAACTACATTTAACAACTTAAAATTGAGCTTTTAAGACTCCTGATTTGGACTCAGGTCATGATCTCATGGTCATGAGATTGAACCCCGTGTTGGGCTCCCTGCTGAGTATGGAGCCTGCTTAACATTCTCTTTCTCTCTCTCTCTCTTCCTCTGTCCCATCCCCCACTCATGTGAGCTCTCTCTCTCTAAATAAAAATTTTTTAATTTTTAAAAAAATTTTAAAAATATAGGTGGTTGGGAGGCTCAGTCAGTTAAGCGTCTGACTCCAGCTCAGGCCATGACCTCCCAGTTCTGAGTTCAAGCCCCACACGGGGCTTTGTGCTGACAATGCAGAGCCTGCTTGGGATTCTCTCTCTCTCTTTCTCTCTGCACCTCCCCTACTTGCTCGAGCACACACAGGCACATGTGCTCTCGCTCTATCTCAAAAATAAACATTAAAAAAAAAGATAACTGGCTAACTCATTATATTAACTCCTCTCCAAAGGCACTAGGCTTATGTATTCAATATATCTCTTTAACTGGCATAAACCTAGAAAAACCTAAAGAAAATATAATGAAAACTAGTGGTTTTACTATCCTCACAGACAAGCTAATAACTCACATCAGCTTTAAAAGCTAGTTAGTATAGACTGATTTTCTCATTTCTCTAGAGTTTTTTTAGAGCAGAGAAAAGCCACATATATTCAGGCTATTTTTGTGCAGAGTAGTTTTTTGGGGCATATCTAAGACAACCTGCTTCTCTGAGCTACATGCTAACCAGCCATTAGCCCTGATACCTATGTGCTAAAGGCACAGATGTGATTATTCACCTCACACTAAGTGATTTGTGTCAGACTGCTGAATGACTTCCGAGTTCTTTGAGTTCTTGAATGCTGTAGAGTATGGAGCTTGCTTTTTTTTAAATCTTGAGATTTTATTATTATTAATAAAGTAATCTCTACACCCAGCATGGGATTCAAACTCATGATTTTGAGATCAAGAGTTACATGCTTTACCAACTGAGCCATACAGGTGTCCTAGAGTCTTCTATGACAAATTCTGGTACAAAACAAGGAAAAAAAAATCCTAAATAATTTTAAGTCATTTTCTGTAGCTTTTACAGTTCACCAAATGTTCTCACCTATTGTACAGACATCTTACATAACAAGTGGACAGTAATGAGGCACATATACAAAAACTCAATCTCTCATCAAAGATGTGGCCTATTTTCTATCAAAGCTATATAAGCCAGACTGAATCTATGGTTTCCCTGCAGGTACCTGTGTGTCAAAGACATTATTCAGTAAAATTCCATATTGATGAGAGAGGCAATCAGAAAGCCAACGACAATCATGGATAACCTAAGGAATCAGAAGACAGAGACAGAGTAATTAGAACCTGGTTGCTAATGTTACTAGCAGGGGGAATCAGCTTACACACTCACCTTCAAAATTCTTTTGTCTTCTAATACCATTTGAAGTCCATTGTTGAAAGCACGACTTCCCAGAAGGAAAATGTCAAATAAGTAAACTCGGCTATTTGTAGCTACCTACAAGAGACCATCCAGACACACATAGGATAAAAAAGAACTAAGGAAGGGGATCTGAGGATAAAGAAAGACATGTGAGAAAATACTTCACATCCTCACTTTTTTTTTTTTAATTTTATTTACTTATTTTGAGAGAGACAGAGATGGTGCAAATCGAGGAGGGACAGAGAGTGAGGTATAGAGAGACAGAATCCCAAGCAGGCTCCTCACTGCCAGTGTAGAGCCCAGCACAGGACTCAAACCCATGAACCATAAGATCATGAACCCAGCCAAAATCAAGAATCAGATGCTCAAGTGACTGAGCCACCCAGGAGCCCCTCACATCCTCACTTTTTTTTTTTATGTTTGTTTATTTATTTATTTGGGAGAGAAAGAGAGAAGAGAATGCAAGCAGGGTCAGGGCAGAGACAGAGGGAGACACAGAATCCCAAAGCAGGCTTCAGGCTCCAAGCTGTCAGCCCAGAGCCTGATGTGGGACTAGAACTCCCGAACTGTGAGATTATGACGTGAGCCGAAGTCAGACACTTCACTAAGTTACCCAGATGCCCCCTCACATCGTCACTTTTATTTATTTTTTTAATGGTTTTTTTTTTTTTCTTTTCTGAGAGAGAGAGACAGCGTGAGCAGGGGAGGGTCAGAGAGACAGGGAGACACAGAAGCTGAAACAGGCTCCAGGCTCTGAGCTAGCTGTCAGCACAGAGCCCGACGTGGGGCTCGAACCCACAAACCATGAAATTATGACCTGGGCCGAAGTCGGACACTTAACCGACTGAGCCACCCAGGCGCCCCTCACATCGTCACTTTTATAGTAAACAATAAACACTCAGTGATTCTTAGGGAAGACAAGTTTAAATTAATCTAAGAAAAACTATCACTCTGATTTTTCAAAAGGACAGAAACAAGTTGGTAGATTCAGCCTTTAGCTTTTTACAATCTCAAATTTAATGTTTTCTCTATCACCCATGGCATTTTAATAATCCAAGGATTACAGGTTGAAGGGGAATGAACAGAATTTCATTGTTAATAACACCAAATGATGTTTCTCTGAGTCCCATAATATGCATGGTTGTGAAAGGTGTTACATGAAATTACTCATAAGAAGGGCATGTGGGTGGCTCAGTTGGTTGTCTCTGACTCTTGATATTGGCTCAGGTCGTGATCTTGCTGTCGTGAGATCAAGGCCCACATCAGGCTCCAAGCTCAGTGAGGAGCCTGCGTGGGATTTTCTCTGCCCCTCTCTTTCTGTGCCTCCCTCCCACAAGCACGCATGCACTCTCTCTCAAAATAAATAAAAATGAAAAAAATTACTCATAAGACAAGATAAAGATTACTCTTCAGCAGTTCTAAATAGGCAACAAATGGTAGGATGTGAAATGTTGCTTTTTAGATCTATTTTATACAATTATAAGAATTTCAGATTGTTTATGATCATAAATGTCACAAAGGCAGTACTATATAGCTGGATAATCTACTGAGTCAGTGAAAGGAGGCAAAGAAAGATCCAAATAAGGTATAGAGGGCCAGCAACATGACAGACTAATGTCATCTTTGTCATTTTAGGAGCTGTTAATACAGCTGTAATTTCCAGGCCCACTTGGTATTCTCAGATCTTTCATGTTATTTGCTAGAATATGACACCTAAAATTGTGACTCCCTGCATTTTCTCTACTTCCTTAATTACACAAACTGAAAAGGCACATTATAAAAGTTTGAGGAATGATTCTCTGCTAGACTATAGCCTCTGTGAGAGAAGAGATTATGCTGGATTCACCACTACACACGCATCAACTAGAACAGAACAGAATCAGAAGCATGGATGGCTGAGACATTTCTTCAGTGAACCAATGCACGCCATACATTGCTCCTTTCCTGTTTTCATAAGCAAACAATGTATATGGTTCTGAGACTGTGTATTCAATTCTATATCCTGCTGTTTTCCATTCATAGTTTTTGAAACATTTTTCAACATTGCACTCATCATTAATTTTTGGCAGCTGCGTAAGATCCATCAAATCTACAGTAATGTCTCCTATTGTTAACTAAGTGGTTTCTGATTTTTCACCATAAAATGATGACAAGAGACTAGGTTCTCACATAATTTTTTTCATATTTTGAATTGAATTATTTAAGATACATACCTTGATGTAGCCCCGAGAAGTGTCCAGATAGCCAACCCTAATATATACTCTGAGTAGGTAGAGGTAGATCCTGACTCAAAGAATAGAAGACCATTCTTTGGGTATTCACCTGCTTTCTTGCCACCCCCCCCCCCCAAAACTGATGCTAGCAAGTTTGATCCAAAACCCAACGTATAGCTTTTCAAGGCTCACTACAAACTTCTTTTGAAACTTCTTTTGACATAAAGGGGACCCTCACCTGACATCTCCGAAGTCAAATGAAAATGATGTGGCAGAATACTGCTGTGGAATGGTAGCAACCAGAAGGAAAAATGAAAATTGTTCATGTGTCTTTGTGGGGTTTTTAAAGATTTTATTTTTGGGGTGCCTGGATGGCTCAGCTGGTAGAGCATGAAAATCTTGATCTTGGGGTTGGAAGCTGAGTCCACAGAGTCCACAGTGGGTGTAGAGATTACTTTAAAAATTAAATTAAATTAAAGCTTTTAAGTAATCTTTACACCCAACATGGGGCTCAAATTCACAGCCCCAAGATCAAGAATTGTACACTCTACTAACTGAGCCAGCCTGCCACCTCTGCAATTCTTCAAAGATCTAAGGTGAGAGAACAGAGCTGGGAAAGAAGACCTCAAACAGAGCCTTGATGAGCAGAGCAATGAAGATTATAAAAGTGAAACTATAAAAAGACAGAAGCTCTATCCTTCTTCTTCTTCTTTTTTTTTTTTTTTAATTTTTAGAGACAGAGAATGGGGGGAGGTGGGGAGGACTGGGGAGGGACGGAGGGAGAGAGAGAATCCCAAGTGGGCTCTGCTGAGCACAGAGCCCAACCCGGGGCTCGATCCTACAATTCTGGGATCATGACCTGAGTTGAAATCAAGAGTTGGATGCTCAACCGACTGAACCACCCAGGCGCCCATCTTTCTTTTTGAAAAGAATAAATTCAGTACTAGAAAAGTGAAAGACATTCCAAACAAGTTATAGGACAGTGACAATGAGGTGACATAAAGAAGACAATTAAGGGGCGCCAGTGTGGCTCAGTTGGTTAAGCCTCCAACTTTGGTTCAGGTCATGATCTCACGATCCGTGAGTTCTAGCCCTGCATTGGTCTCTGTGCTGACAGCTCAGAGCCTGGAGCCTGCCTCAGATTCTATTTTGCCCCTCCCCCACTGACACTCTGTCTCTCTCTGTGAAAAATAAATAAACATTTAAAAAATTTTTAAAGATGTATTAAAAGAAGACAATTAAAATCAATTTGCCAGTGAATCCACAATTATTTCAAAATAAAAAGTTTAAAGTATCTTTTACCTGAAGCCAACACAGCTTCCCATGACGACACACATTAGCACCTTCTGTTGCCACACTCAGGACACTCTGCTTCTTGATGTGGAGCATCTGGTGAGAAAAAGGAAGAAAATCTCCCGGGAATAAATGTTGCAATTATGATATGAATAATACAAGTAAAATGGCTAGCAATTAACAAAGTGGATAATATTTTTTTAAACTTACAAAATTTGATTAATCCAAAACACAAGTCTGCTTCTCCCTCTCACTCTCAGGCATACATGCACGCACACACGTGTGCACGCGCGCGCACACACACACACACACACACAACCATTGAACATTTCTTTTTTAATTTTTTTTAATGTTTATTTTTGAGAAATACAGAGTGTGAGTGGGGAAGAGACAGAGAGAGAAAGGGAGACACAGAATCTGAAACAGGCTCCAGGCTCTGAGCTGTTAGCACACAGCATGATGCAGGGCTCGAACTCGGGAATGGCGAGATCATGACCTAGGCTGAACTCTGCCGCTTAACCAACTGAGCCACCCAAGCGCCCTTCTTATTTTTATTTAATAATTTTGTTTAATGTTTATTTATTTTTGAGAGAGAGACCAAGTGAGGGGCAGAGAAAGAGGGAGACACAGAATCTGAAGCAGGTTCCAGGCTCTGAGCTGTCAGCACAGATTCCTACTCGGGGCTCGAACTCAAGAGCTGTGAGATCATGACCTGAGCTGAAGTCAGACGCTTAACCGACTGAGCGACCCAGGCATCCCAACACTGAACATTTCTAATCCTCTTTTTAGTTTTTGCAAAATTATTACATAACTGTAAAATAAATCATTCATATCCTAAATGCTAAGAGTTGAAAACTCAGATACCTTTTGTTATCCATGATGCTACAGCAAAAGAATTCTTTTTTTTTTAAATTTTTTTTTTATGTTTATTTATTTCTAGGAGAGAGAGAGAGACAGCGTGAGCAGGGGAGGGCCAGAGAGAGAGGGGGTCACAGACTCTGAAACAGGCTCCAGGCTCTGAGCTGGCAGCACAAAGCCCGACGCGGGGCTCGAACCCACGAACCGCGAGATCATGACCCAAGCGAAAGTCAGATGCTTAACCGACTAAGCCACCCAGGCGCCCCAAGAATTCTATCTTTTAAAAAATGTTTATTTATTTATTTTGAGAGAGAAAGAAAGAGTGTGTGAGTGATCAGGGGGAGGGACAGAGAGAGAGGGAGAGAGAATCCTGAGCAGGCTCTATGCTGACAGCACAGAGCCCAACGTAGGGCTCAATCTACCGAACCATGAGATTGTGACCTGAGCGGAAATCAAGAGTTGGTCATTTAACCAACTGAGTCACTCAGGAACCCCCAAAAGATTTCCATCTTTATGACCAGATTCCTCATGCAAAGAACACTGCCCTAACATAGGGCAATTTACTGTATGTGAAGGGAACTTAGGTTGTGGCTAAATCTCAGAGTATATACTGTTCAGAATGAGAGACACAAGAACTCAATAGTTCCCTCAAAGTCTTAGATTCATTAAGTGACTCAAAACTGATGTCATGGCATTCCAGGAACACATGCTGATCCTTCAATTATCTGTAATCTTATCCTATTTCAAAACATTGTACAATTCTAAAATCCTTCATCCATAATCTATGAAAACATCTACATGATACAAGATTCTCCCCATATTTACAGATAGGTAAATTACTCAAGAATAGAAGGGCATGGTAACTTTCACTAGCACAATATCTTCCTCTAGAGAGCACAGAGTGATCTGCATTGAGTATCTTCCATCAATGATGAACAAAAGGGACTGAACTTCAGTTCCATCCTCAACCAAAAGCAAGAAGCCTGTAGAATTTGGAAAACAAAAGCTTTATTTCTCTATTGACAAGAGTTTCCAACTATCTCTTCAAATTTCCAGGTTCTTACCTCAATTTTTGTTGTTATTATCATTTGACCCTTTGAAGAATCTGTTGATAAAGAATTCTTATAACTAAGTTAAAAAATGGGCAAAGGAGGGGCACCTGGCTGGCTCAGTTGATAAAGCATGTGACTCTTGATTTCAGGGTCATGAGTTTAAGCCCCAAGTTGAGCATGGAGCCTAGTTAAAAAAATGGGCAAGGGAATAGACATTTCTCCAAAGAAGATATATAAACATCCAATAAGCACATGAAAAATGTTCAACATTATTAGCCATCAGGGAAATGTAAATCAAAACCACAATGAGATACCACTTCACATCACTAAGATGGCTATAATCAAAATGACAGATAACAACAAGTTTTGGTAAGAAAGTGGAGAAATTGGCACCTTCATATCCAGGAATGTGAACTGGTATAGCATCTTTGGAAAACAATGGCCAATTCTCAAAAAGTTAAACATAGAATTACTAGATGACTCAGCAATTACATTTGTATGTATCTGTCCCAGAGAAAAGAAAATATATGTGCAAACTAAAACTTCTACATGAATGTTCATAGCAGTATTATTCATAATAGCCAAAAAGTAGAAAGAACTTAAATGGTGAAAGGATAAGTAATATATGGTATAGCCATATAAAAGAATATTATTTGGCAATGGAAATAAGTGAAACATTGATACATGCTATAAAATAGATCAACATGAAAATATGCTAAGCAAAAGCCAGTCATGAATGACCTCATATTTTATGATCCCATTTATACAAAATGTCCTAAACAGGCAAATCCATAGAGGCAGAAAAGTTGCCAAGGGCTGGGGGACTGAGAAGGCACGCCCATTTTTCTCCATAGCACTTCTCACCGGCTGATATACAATTGTTTATTTTCTTGCATTAAAATGTAAACTTCTTGGGGTGTCTGGGTAGCTCAGTCGGTTAAGCATCCGACTTCGGCTCAGGTCATGATCTCACAGTTTGTGGATTCGAACCCCTCATTGGGCTCTGTGCTGACAGCTAGCTCAAAGCCTGGAATCTGCTTCTGATTCCGTATCTCCCTCTCTGACCCTCCCCTGCCCATGCTGTCTGTCTCTCTCTCTCTCAGAAATAAATAAAACATTTAAAAATAAATAAATAAATAAAATGTAAACTCCTTGATGGCTGGGGCTTTGTCCTTATTATTTACTCCAAACCTCAGAACAATATCTGGCATATAGCAGACACTCAAATATTTTGTTGAATTATTAGGAAAAATATCAGTGGTCTTATAATAAGAGAGAAATCTATAAGACATAAACTTGATACCTACATGTAGACAATACTAGGAATGATTAAGGGCAATACTCACTGCAGCACCAAACTTCTGCTGGAACTGATCAATGACTGTGTATGTCACCTCCTCTTCCTCTGCAGGAGAATGATGGTAATAGGTATATTTGTCTTCCCTATCAATAGAATAGCCCTCCCACTAATTTCATAAATATATGAAATTATTTCTCACAAATATTACTTATAAAGTCTTCCTCTATTGCATAAATTCCTCCTCTATTGCAACTCAAAGGTCTAATGTTCTCAACAAGGAAAAACAAAAGTCCCACCAATCATAATCTAATGAATTAGATTACTTAATCATTTCCTGTGAAAATCTAGTAATGTTTCCCTCATCGTAGACTTATGTCATAAGTATTTCAAGACATGCCCTTTTTTAAAACCATTTTTTAAATATCTTTATTTCTGAGAGAAAGAGAGATACAGAGTGTGAGTGGGGGAGGAACAGAGAAAAAGACAGAGAGACACATAGAGACAGAGAGACAGAGAATCTGAAGCAGCCTCCAGGCTCTGAGCTGTCAGCACAAAGCCAGATGCAGGGCTTGAACTCACAAACCACGAGATCATGACCTGAGCCAAAGTCAGATGTTTAACCAACTGAGCCACCCAGGTACCCCTAGACATGCCCTTTTTAAAAGGATGTTCATTAAAAAAATAATAATAATAACAGTTTAGGAGTGCCTAAACTGGGTGGCTCAGTTAGTGAAGCAACCAACTCTTGATTTTGGCTCAGGTCATGATCTCACAGTTTGTGGGTTCAAGCCGCATGGTGGGCTCTGCACTGACAGCATGGAGCCTGTTTGGGATTCTTTCTCTCTCCATCTCTCTCTGCCCTTACCCTGCTTGTGCGCTCTCTCTCTCTCTCTGAAAATAAATAAACTTAAAAAAAATAATGGTTTAAAATAAGTCAGTCCTGGAGATGGACCATAGTCCACACTTTTGGATTTCTCTGTGTCCTTACTTACATTTCTAAATCATGTCATTTAAATAATTAAAGGTATAACATAATATACAGTTTCTCTTCATCTCCAACCTCTAAAACTTTGGAGTTACATTTGACAGTCCACACACCTCTTTGTCCCTATCCATACTCATTCTCCTGGTGATCTCATCTAGTCTCGAGGCTTTTAATATAATCCATGGGCTACCTCTTGCATTTGTATCTCCATGTCAGACCTTTCTCCTCCTCCTTAGGCTTACATTCAGACTTCAATGGACCAAAACTCTTAAAAATATCCCCAAACCTGTTCCACCCAGCATGGTTCTCATCTCAGTTAAATCATATTCCATACTCCAGGCTGCTCAGACCGAAACCCTTGAAGTCACCCTCGATTCCCCTCTTTCTCTCACATCCCCACCTATTATGCCAGTACACTGTGTTGGCTACGCCTCAACATACATCCAGAATTCCACTACTTTTTAAGATGCCAGTACCACTATGGTCCAAGCCACCATATCAACTCATCTCAAAATTATTTCAGTAGCCTAACAGGTATTCATGCTTTTACTTTTGTCCTCCTCTCAGTATCTATCTAGCATCCAAAGTAACTGTATTAAAATAGAAGTCTGATCATGTTACTCTTCTGCCCAATACTATCCAATGGGAAGTAATAGTTTTTTAATGCCATTTATAACAATGTAAAATATGGAATCTTAGGAATAAATACAACAAAAGATGTGTAAGAGTTATAACTGAGAACTACAAAACAATGATGAGAAATTAAAGATCTCAAGGATGCATATACTGGGTTAAGAGACTGGAATACTCAATTTTGTTAAGATGCCAATATTCCCAAACTGATCTATTCATTTCATTGTAAGCCCAGTAAAAATTTCAAAGGTTTTTTTTCTTATGTTAGCAGAAATTGGCAACCTGATTCTAAAATTCACAGGGAAATGCAAAGAACATAGAAGAGCCAAAACAACTTTGAAGAAGAATGAAGTTGGAGAACTAACACTACCTGATTTTAAGATCTATCATCAATCAACAGTAAACAAAACAAAAACAGTCTGGTATTGGTGTAAAGACAGAAAAATAGATGTAACAGAATATGGTGTCCAGAAATAAACCTACACATATATGGAAAATTAATTTTTGACAAAGATGCAAAGGTAATCGGAGAAAATAACAGTCTTTTCAAAAAAAGAGTACTGGAACAATTGGGTATCTATATCCAACAACAAAACAAAACAAAACAACAAACGCTGATCCATACTTCACATCGTGTACAAAAATTAACTAAAAATGGGTCCTAGACCTGAACATAGGCTGAAATCATGAAGCCTCTAGAAGAAAATATAGGAGAAAATCTCTGTGACTGAGTTAGGAAAAAATTTCTTAGATATGATATCAAAAGTACAATCCATAAAGTAAAAAAATGAATAAATTGTACTTTATCAAAACTTAAAATGTTTCCTCTTTGAGAGATACTTCAAGAGAATAAAAAGACTAACCACACACTTGAAGGAGTATTTGTAAAGCACATATTTGAGGGAAGATTTATATCCAGAATATACAAAGAACTCCCAACACTGAATAATAATAAAACCCAGTAAGAAAATGTACAAAAGATATGAATAGACATTTCACCAAAGATATTCAGATGGGAAATAAGGACATGAAAAGATCCTTAACATCCTTAGTCATTAGAGAAATGATAAAACCAAGAATCTTCCAATAGCTTTTTTTCTCAATCCAGAGTAGAAGCTCAAGTCTCTTCAATGATCTACAATGACCACCATGATAGGCCTACCCAACTTCATCTATTATCTTTCTCCTTGCTCCAACTACACTGATCTTGCTATTCCTTCAAGACCCTGGCACGTTCCTAGCTCAGGCCTTTGTATTCCTTCTTTTTGCTGCCTAAATAACATTTCCCTCAGGTACACACAGCTCAACCCCTCATCTCCTCGGGCCTTTGCTCAAATGTCACCATTTCAGTGAGGTCTGTCCTAAACATCCTAAAATTGTAAAACCACCCTCCTCACACATTTCTTCTTTTTCTTTTTCTTTTTTTCTCCTTAGCAGTTTGCACTAGCATACTATATGTTATGCTCATTTATCTTATTTAGTGTCTCTTTCCTATATCGGAGCTCAACGAGGGCAGAGATACTACACTTCAGTATCCTCAATGTCTGGAATATAATGCACCCTCATATATTAAATAAATGAATGAATCACAATAGTCTATCTTAATTCAGAGCCTAGAAGCAAGGGCCTTGCTGAGCATTCCATACAGAACCTAGACTCAGAGTTACGCCAACTCTAAAGAGTTCTGAATCATGATAAAGTGAGACTAGACAATTTAGAGCCCCACTACTTACCTAATGCGCTGTACTTGAGGTTGTTCAGCAGAGAGGTGGTTGGTAACTCAGGGGTAGGAGAAGGAGGCTCACATATGTTTAGATCTTCACCTTTCATTTTATCCATCCTGGTTCTTTCTGTATTTAGACTATGTTTACAAAAACCAACACTCAGGTGAACGTGTTCTTTGTTGCTGATGCCCTACACAGATTTTGCAACACACCAATGGTGGAGAATCTGGACCGCATTTCACGGAGGATACTCTCATCCACTGCTTTTACACTGATTTAAAGACACCTTCTAAAGATGGAAGAAAATATCCATGTATTTCTTTTCTTTTCTATTACCTTAGGCCACTTGGGGAATTACATAGATCATGAATTAGAGATAAGGCGTTCTACCGTAAAGTATACACTTGGATAAAATCACAATTAAGAAAATTACTCCATCATACCTAACAGAAGATGCCTTTTCTCTCTCTGCACCTTGTTCCACTTCATCCAGCATTTCCACTATAAAATAACCAAATGGTTTCCAACAGAGTTTCCAATCTGAAAGCAATGAACCACTCCCCTTCCACCCACAGTTTAATGATGTATCACAAACAGTAATTGGAAATGAAATGTTAGTCCACAGAGGCCTTCATCAGCCAGTAATAAATAGAGCAGAAAAGCCTATCCAAAGCACTGAGGATGCCTAATATTATGTCTCTACCTACCTAGCTTCTTTGGTCATTTAGAAGGAGTAGAAAGCACTGTACATTTTCCCTTTACCTTTTTGTTCCAGGGCACCTTCATCATCATACAGATTGGTTCCAGAGACACATTTTCTTTCCTATTCATTCCCACCATTGATGCATCTTCCCTCACACTGTGTACTCTTTGCGTGTTTTCTCTCAAATCATTCACAGATCTGGCCCTTTCACTCTCACAGACTGCTGCATTAATAGTTCAGTGACAGGAAAAGCAATAAAAGCTAGACTAGAAATCACCAAAAAAATATGAAATGTTCCTCAGATTCTCAAACAACTTATTTTTAACCTAACAGTACAGGCAATATTGTACATTATTGAACCTAAGATGTACATTTTAAATAGCTCTGAAATCAGATATGATTTATAATAAGTGCACGACAGTTTAATTGGCAGTTTTTCTTAGGATGCGAAAAGTAATAGTGCACTTTATAATTAATGGCATTCTAGAGTCAATTAAGTATACATAGGTTCTAGTCACAGAAAATACACTAAGGGGCCACTATGTTCCAAATGTCTCCTTCTCCTGCACTATTTAGATGTGTTGAGTATGGGGCAGAGAAAGTGAAAGTCACTAAAAACATTGACAAGTCAATTATTATTCTTCATTTTATTTAAACTTATTTTTAAAAATTTTAATGTTTATTTATTTTTGAGAGACAGAGCATGAGCAGCGGACAGGCAGAGAGAGAGGCAGACACAGAATCTGAACCAGGCTCCAGGCTCTGAGCACTCTGCACAGAACCTGAACTGGGTCTCGAACTCACGAGCTGTGAGATCATGACCTGAACCAAAGTAGGATGCTCAACCAACTTAGCCACCTGGGGGCCCTTGCAAATTTATTTTTGTTTTGAGGTTTTATTTAAATTCTAGTTAGTATTATTCTTCATTTTATTTTTTTAAATATTTTTATTTATTTCTAGGAGAGAGAGAGAGAGACAGAGTGAGCAGGGGAGGGTCAGAGAGAGAGAGGGAGATACAGACTCTGAAAAAGGCTCCAGGCTCTGAGCTTGCAGTCAGCACAGAGCCCGACGCGGGGCTCGAACCCTCGAACCGCGAGATCATGACCTAAGCGAAAGTTGGTCGCTTAACCGACTAAGCCACCCAGGCGCCCCTATTCTTCATTTTAATAATTCTTACTCAAAGTGCTTTTCAGGGAGAGTGGAAAAAGTCTCAATCCATGGCTAATTGAACCACAGAGAAAAGAAGGAGAAGCCTGTCCTCTGAACTTAAAAATTATGAACAAAGGTCAAGTCTTGAGAAAGAATTTAGGAAGAGATGAACTCATGTGTACAGTTCACAAAGCTCGTCAGTGGTTAGCCTTCTCTTGAGTTAGGGAGATAGTAGTAGTGATTCCTTTGGCTCTATTGCAAACCCATCCACAGCCTAGCTTTGTTCCAGTCCAGAGCTTTGACCCAGTGGAAAGGCTAATAGTTAGAATACAATTAGGAATCCCACTATATAGTGGCACCTGGGTGGCTTAGTCGGTTAAGCATCTGACTCTTACTTTGGCTCAGTAATGATCTCACAGATTGAGCCCCAAGTCCTCTGCACTGACAGTGCAGAGCCTGCTAGGGATTCTGCTCTCTCTCTCTCTCAAAATAAACAATGAACTAAAAAAAAAAAAGAATGTGGTTTAAAAAAAAAAAAAAAAGAATCCCACTATGCGACACCTGGCTGGCTCAGTTGTTAACATGTGATTCTTGATCTCAGGGTTTTAAGTCTGAGCCCCATATTAGGTATAGAGATTATTTAAAATCTTTTTTTTTTTTTTTTTTAGAAAGAATCTTACTACTACCACCACCATCACAGCCATTACAAAAAGATGTTCAAGGGACAGAGAGTATTTATAGTAGCATACTCAGTGAGAAAAGGACAGTTAGATAGCTGGCTAGACATGTCTGCCTCAAAGCAGGTCTAGATTGGCAGTCATTAATTTGGTGAGACTTTCATCTCTCTCTCAACTCTACTCTCACAAAACAAAGTAATCCTTCAAACAGTAATCTGTCATCTACAGGAGTTCTTTCCTTTCCTCATATCTGCTCCACTGGTAAAAAATGAACAGCTCCACAAGGTCCTGGATCTCCCGTTCTCCCTACTCTGTCACCCACACTGATCTTTATTCCTCCTTGGAAGGCTTTCTGTTTTAGACTTCTTGAAAGGGAGAACAGTTCTTGCTCCCCTCTTCTCTTATCCTATTTGGCTTTTTGGAAGCACACTGACCACAAGAGCTTCCACATCTACTCTTTTTTTGTCAAACAAGCAGACCTACTTTCGCTAAATGGCTTTTGCTGGTAGAAATGAAGGACAGAGCTGCAAAACAAAACAAAACACAAAACAAAACAAAAAATACCCAGGGGCACCTGGGTGGCTTAGTCGGTTAAGCGTCCGACTTTCGCTTAGGTCATGATCTCGCGGTTCGTGGGTTCGAGCCCCGCGTCGGGCTCTGTGCTGACTGCCAGCTCAGAGCCTGGAGCCTGTTTCAGAGTCTGTGACTCCCTCTCTCTCTGACCCTCCCCTGCTCACGCTGTCTCTCTCTCTCTCCTAGAAATAAATAAAACATTAAAAAAATACCCAAAAACCAAAAAAAAAAAAAAAAAACCTTCACAAAAAAGAGAGCTGTTTCCTGCAATTCCAAAATCCAAAAATCTCTGAAAACCAAAAATTGTAACTCTTTTGGCAGTAAAATCTGAGCTGACATACTATTTATATTCCTATTTTATTCCATTTAGGAGGATTATCTGCAGTTTCCCTGTAGAAATATATTTTATTACAGAGTTATTTCTAGCCCCGCTTGGGATGTTAATATTAAACAGTATATAGTCTGTGTTAGGGTTTCCAAAAATGCAGAATTCTAAATTCTGAAACACTTGGTCCCCAGGTTTCAGATAAGGGACTTACCTGAAACTTTCCGTTCAGATTCCTAACTGCCTGCTGGCTGAGTCTCTAGTAATGAGCACTAGCATTCCTCACATTGTAAAATTAAGATGACTAAAATTCTCTAACACTGTTCTGCTCATAGAACCCAAAGAAAAAGTAAGATGAAGGTCAATTCTCAACCACCAACTTTAAAAGTTCATAAATGTAATATTAAAGGCAATATAACACCTCGTACTTTTTTAAATATTGGAATGAGGTAGAGCTATGACTTTACTACTACTCCAAATCCCAATCCCTGCACTCAGGGAACATGCACCTCTCACCGTTCACAATCTCGTGCCCAAAAAACATCTTCACTCCTGGAACGCTTCGACCAGTCTCCACATTCTTCACTGTTACAGAAAATGATTCATTTAGTTATTAAAAAAATAATAATTTCCTAAAATTTTAAGAGAATAATGCATCTCAAAAGTGCTATATCTGAATTTTATTAAAATCCTCAAATTATTTTCCCCCAAGAAATGAAGAGTCAATAATAAATTACAAAGTTACAGCCTTGAAACAAGTAGTACAAAGAATAGATTGAGGGCACCTGGGTGGCTCAGTCGCTTAAGCAACCGACGCTTGGCTTTGGCTCAGGTCATGATCTCATAGTTGGTGACTTCAAGCCCTGTGTTGGGCTCCGCACTTGGCAGCACAGAGCCAGCTTGGAATTTTCTCTCTCCTCTCTCTGTCCTTCCTCCACTAACACTGTTTCTCTCAAAATAAATAAATAAACCTAAAAAAAAAAAAAAAAAAGGAACAGAGGGAACTCTAGAATGGTCCAAGAGGAACTTAAAGGGCAGTGAATTTAAACTTCTCCCCCAAATTATTCTAAGGCCCTTGAGGCTAAGGACTATTTATTATATTTCTGTTGATTTTTTTACTCCTAATTCTAGATAAAATTTTAAGGCAGTTGACTACTTCTAGAGTCCACACCCTGTTTCATGTCATGCTACATGCTCCCAAGTACTGTTAAGAAAAATAATCCTAATCCTAGCCCAAATACAGGGCTATTATGTGAGTAGGCAAGTGAGCTAGGAGAAGTTTAGATGTCTTGTCTACAAAATGGCATGACTTTTCTAAAAATTTTTTAATGTTTATTTTTGGAAGAGAGTGAGAGACCAAGAGAACAATTTGGGGAGGGGCAGAGAGAGAAGGAGATACAGAATCTGAAGCAGGCTACAGGCTCCGAGTTGTCACCACAGAACCTGATGTGGGGCTCAAACCCAAATGACATCATGACCTGAGCCAAAGTTGGATGCTTAACTGACTGAACCACCCAGACATCCCTGGTGTTACTTTTCTAGATGGAAGTGCTCCCAGCAGCGGGATATTTCCATATCGCTCAGCAATCCAAAATAATTTGAGTTTCACCCTCACTATTCTACTGAATATATTCTTACTGAGGTCAAAAATCACCAACCATCTATTTTTCAAATTAAAAAAAAAAGTTTATAGTCATATCACCCTTGTCTCCCATGTATCCTTTGACAATACTGTTCTCTCTTTTCTTCTTTGGCTTACAGGACATACTTCAAGTTTAGTTCTTTTCCTATTAATTTCCTAGAGCTACTATACTGAGCACACTGAGCTAGGCACCCAAGCTAATTTTTGCCCACATTTAACTCTCCAGTAACATAGTCAGAGAGGCATCTCATTCTCTCTGTTACGGAAGAATGTGAGACTCAGAAAAGTTGAATAACTTTTTTTTATTTAAGGTCACATTGCTAAGAAAAGACAGTCAAGATTCAAACCTGGGCCTCAGTTATTTTGTATTTTAATATGCAACTCCTAACACATGTTACACTGTCTCCCTTATTTGCTCCTCCCAATCTTTCTACCTGCCTTTATCACCTCTGACATCCTGATGCCATTTTTTAAAAAAATTATTTAAGTAATCTCTATACCTAATGTGAGGCTCAAACGCATGACCCCAAGATTAAGAGTTGCCTGCTCTTCCAGTTGAGCCAGCCAGGCACCCCCAACATCCACTATTTCTATAGCATGGGTTATTTCTTTCAGTTCCACTCACATTTCCTAGCAGACTTATTGTAAGATTCTCAAACTGAAATCATTATCTTCTCCCAGTATAACAAACTTGCTCTTCCCATTTCTATCAATTAAAAATAGTACTATACACATAATCTTCTGAGTCATAAATGTAGGAGTCATTTTCCATTGCTCTTTAATTATCTAATTGATTATCAGGTTACTTATCCCATCTCTTATGAACATCTAGAATCTGTCTCTCTCTTTTCCTTTCCTTGCTGAACCTTAGCTCTGACCACCATCATTTCCCCTTTATTGGGTCCCTTGATTGTCAAAATAGTTCCCTGTCTATGCTCTCTGCCTGTAGTTTCTCCTTACTTCAATCCTTCTGTCAAACTGCTATCATAGTGAAAATACTCCCTGCTTTGTTCAAATAGTACATAAAATTAGTAAACAAGTGTCAAGAAATATGTTCAACTTCTTTAGGAGTATTTTATAAACATGCCAAAATGAAATATCGCTTTTTACCTATAGAACTAGCAAAAATTTAGGAAAGATACACATCTGCATTTTTAAAAAATCCAATGTTAGATTATTTAATGAGTATCATTCACACATAGCTAGTAGTAGAAAGTCACAACACTTTTGAAAAACTATTTGGAAATATGCATCAAAAATGTTTAAAATATCTATAATTTTCACCTAGTAGTTTCACTTGTAGGAACTATTCCTAAGAAAATAATTATAACAAATACTGGGGCACCTGGATGGCTTAGTCGGTAAGCATCCTCAGGTTGTGAGTTCAAGCCCCACATTGGGCACCATGCTGGGCGAGAAGCCTACTTAAAAAAAAATGGGTAGGGGCACCTGGGTGGCTGTCGGTTAAGCGTCCAGCTTCGGCTCAGGTCATGATCTTGCAGTGCGTGGGTTCAGGACCTGTGTTGGGCCCTGTGCTGAAAGCCAGCTCAGAGCCTGGAGCCTGTTTCAGATTCTGTGTCTCCCTCTCTCTCTGACCCTTCCCTGTTCACGCTCTCTCTCTCTTTCAGAAATAAATAAAACATTTTTTAAATGCTAAAAAAAAGAGAAATAAAAATTTTTTAACAAGTGAAATAAAATGGGTATATATATCTATATATACACATATAGATATATGTAATACATGTATATGTTTATTATGTATATCTATATATACATATTAGTTAATATATAGTGACAAATATTAAATTGTAATTTATACTGTGCTATAATAATGTATAATTATATAATATGCAAATAGGTTTTATTTTATAATTATAAAATATACTAAATATTTTTATTTTAATTTTTAAAAAATATTTCTCTTTGAGACAGAAAGAGAGTGAGACAGAGAGAGAGAGAGAGAGAGAGAGAGAGAGAGAGAATGTTTGTACGGGGCAACGAGAGAGGGAGACAGAATCCCAAACACGCTCTGCACTGCCAGCACAGAGCCCACAGCAGGGCCTGAACTCACAAACCACGAGATAGTGACCTGAGCCAAAATCAGATGCTTAACAAACTAAGCTACCCAGGTGCCCCTATAATAAAATTTTTAAAAACTATGCTTTAAGGGGCGCCTGGGTGGCTCAGTCTGTTGAATGTCTGACTTCGGCTCAGGTCATGATCTCACCGTCTGTGGGTTCGAGCCCTGTGTCGGGCTCTGCTGACAGCTTAGAGCCTGGAGCCTGCTTCAGATTCTGTGTCTCCCACTCTCTCTTCCCTCCCTTCCTTGTGCTCTGTCTCTCACTGCTTCTCAAAAATACATATTAAAAAATTAAAAAAACAAAGCTATACTTTAAAATGTTTAGCCATTAAATTGGAGTTTCAAATAATACCAGCAAATGCTTGTTATTGTGTTAACTAAAAAAAGCATATACCTAACTTATATGTCAACTATATAAAATCTGCATAATTAAAGTTTATATTTCATCTAGACTGAATGCTTTATTGAACAAGTATGTGGCATATCTTTTTTTTTTTTTTTTTTATTTCTAGGGGAGAGAGAGAGAGAGACAGTGTGAGCAGGGGAGGGTCAGAGAGAGAGGGAGTCACAGACTCTGAAACAGGCTCCAGGCTCCGAGCCGGCAGTCAGCACAGAGCCCGACGTGGGGCTCGAACAGTATGTGGCATATCTTGACTGTTGTCCATTCAATGACATTTATTCAGGCTAGCAAACTGCTTAGTATTCCTACAGACAGTAGTGGTTTCTTGGACCTCCAGGGCATCTCTCTTTAAGGGAACTGACTCAGCTGGGAAGAACACTGCCCTACCACTATGTCCTTTTCCTCCTGTAACTTCTAACAGCCATCACATGAACTTGAGGTTTGAAGCTATGGGCTAAAGATGGCAGAGTAGAAAGATGAAAAATCTGGATCTCCCTCAACTGTGGGGAGAGTCACAGTAGCCCTGGGATGCCTGTCTTCTTTTATATACGAGAATAAACTCCTGGTTTGAGCCACTGGATTGAATTTGTTTCTAGCAGCTGAGCATGGTTCCTAACATAGCATTAAAAATTTCAGGCAACAAGCCAGAAAACTTAGATGCCTCTCGCTTGAAAATCTTTCAAACTACGGGGTACCTTGCTGGCTCGGTCAGTAGAGCATGCCATTCTTGACCTTAGGGTTGTGAGTTTAGGCCCCATGCTGGGCTTAGAGCCTACTTAAAATTAAAAAAAAAAAAAAAAGTCCTTCAAATTGTTCCTCATTGCTTTCAGAAGTGTCCAAATATTATATAATGTTAAGGGCTTCTGATCAGTCCCATGTCTACTTCTCCAGCCTTAAGTCTCACCACATCCTCATACTGAAATTCACTTAGTGAACGCACCAAGTTTTCATGTCTCTACATTTCTTGTACATGCTGCTATTTCTGCATAAAACTATGGTTCTCTCAAAGTCTGGTTCCCCAATTGAGCTTCAGCAGCACCAGGAAACTTGTTAGAAATGCAAATTCTTAGCCCCCACCTTAGACCTTAAGAATCAGAATCTCTTGGAGGGGGGGCCCATGAATCTATGTTTTAACAACTTTTCCAGGTGTTTCTGATACACAGCTAAAGTTTGACAATGACTGGCTTGAAACACCTTACACTCTTTTCCCATCCAGTTAAATCCTACTCATCTTTGGGACACCTTCCCTGCTATCCTAACCCTACCACTCCCAGATCTAAATAAACTGAAGCTTTGTGGCACCTGGGTGGCTTAGTCGGTTGGGCATCTGACTCTTTATATTAGCTGAGGTCATGATCTCACAGTTTGTGGGTGCAAGCTCTGCACTGGGGTCTATGATGATACCATGAACCTGCTTAGGTTCTCTCTCTCCCTCTCTCTCTGCCCCTCCCACACACACAGGTCTTACTCTCTCAAAATAAATAAGTTAACTTAAAAAATTAACGGCACCTTTTGTGTTTCCATAGCATCTTGTGCATACCTCTATCAGAAGAGGATATCCCACTGCATTATAGCTTTCTACCTGCTTATCTGTCTCCTTACTAGACTAAGCTTTTTGAGCAAAGTGACCATGTAACCCTTATCTATATCCCTGGTACCTGTCATAGTACCTGCAATATAAAACTATCAATAAATGATTACTGAGGGGCACCTGGCTGGGTAAGCCAGAAAAGCATGCAACTCTCGCTCTCGTGGTCATGATAGAAGCTCCATGTTAGGTATGCAGCCTACTTAAAATAAGTTTAAAAAAAAAACAAAATTAACAAACATGATTACTGAATCAGTTACTATATTGCAAAACTCTGGTAGAGTCCCACCCTAATCCATAAAGGTCTATTTTAACTTATAATATGGCTTAAGAATAACATTAACCTTCAAATGCCATCTATACAGACTTCAATTGTGAAATTGAAACTTCTATCAGGTAAACAACTACCCCAGCAATGCAATATTCTAGCTGAGCAAAAACTATATATTAGAGCTTCAAGTTCAACATAGGAACTAAGGGGTGGTACATGCAGAAAGGGCATGGAAACTCTGCGCCCCTCCCCACATAGTTTTGCCTATGCATCTCTTCCACTTGGCTGTTTCTGAGTTGCACCCCTTAAAATGAACAGAATTGAAGCTGGGAGGTAGAGAGGCTACCTTGTTACCATGATGATGACAATGATGACTGAGGTGGCAAAAGCACAAGGCACCTGGTCCCTGTTGACATCTTTGAGCCACTGCACTGTTCCTCAGCAGCCTATTTCTGCACTTGTTTTTGCGTGAGAAAAAATAATTTGTGAATTGTCTGCTGAAGCCACAAGTAATTCTATCTTTATCTTTGTGAATTTTTCTGTTGAAGCCAAAAGGAATTCTATCTAATAGTGTGATGATTTTTAATTTCAAGATGTATATGGAAGAAATTAAAAAGTACCCAATGAAAAAAATCTACACAATGAAAATTTCCACTATCATGGAAATCAATAAAAGTAGAGAAGTAGAGACAAGCCAGCATATACAGCCATGTTTTCTGTCAGGGAAAATAGCATTCTAATCTTCCTCCTATGTCTTCCCTAGAATAGGAATGCCTCCCTCCCAGTTGCTAATGAAGCTCAGAGCCATCACCCAAACTTAGCCATTAATCTCTTTAAAAGCAGAAGATAATGAAAAATAAAATGAGACCTTTCTTCAGGACAACAATCTTGTTAGGGTCCACATGCTGGAGTACTCCCTCAAAGATGCCACAAACCAATGTTAGTTTCACCCTTCTCCACAAAATCTGATTGAGGAAATGGTAGTCACTGCTGGGGTCCATGCTATTTGATTCCAAAAGCAGTCTTCAAATAATCTTCTTCAAATGTCCAACTACTTGAAAATAAAAGAGATCTATGATTTTAAAAACATTTTGGCGGAATGAGGTTATTTCCCCTTTTCCCATACCTGGAAAACACAAGAGTAATTCAGTTTTGCTCACTCATCTTTTTAGAATAACGGGAAAAGGACCATTGCAAGGACCAACTCTAATTTATACATGGGAAAGTGAAAACCACAAAACTTTAGGGAAGGAAGGTTTGGGTTCTTGGTCTATACAATGAGGTAATACTACCTTTCATTCTTTAATTAAATGGAACAAGCACAACATTTAGAGGCTTTTGAATGGCACACATATATCTTTTTAACACCAACCAACCAACCAACCAACAAACCCTTAAGAAACAAATGGAAAAAAAAAAAAACATATTGGCAAGTATTTTGCCACTATATGCTGCCATAAACTGCTCACCCAGAAATATCTGGGATCTAACTTCTCCTGGCCTCTTCTACATTAGTAACATTTCCAGAATTTGGTAGTTTTACTAAGCAAAGCGTAAATGACTTAGAATTACTACAATATTATGCATGACCAATCAAACTGCCATGTAAGTGCAATTGAAGAGAGACAACACTACATCAGACAAGGGCAAGTCAATCATGAAAACTACTCAGCAAGACTAGAACCTTGACCTCATGCTAAGTTGCCAGAACTTTAGGTAAAGCTTAAAAGTAGTTTAGGTACTAAGTGACAGTGGTCAGAATTTGGCTCTTCCGTATCTCAAAGAGGTTCTGTTACAAAGCAACACTCAAAGGGTGGAGAGGGGGTGAAAAGGCATTGAAGCCCCAGGAAATGAACTGGTCACCGGAGTGGGTGTACTAATTTACCGGGCGGCTTAAACGTTTTCAAGAAAACAGTATCATAAAAATAAAATACAAAATTCCTCATTTTTAAGGAAAAATAAGAAACTTGAAATAGGGGCGCCTGGGTGGCTTAGTCGGTTAAGCGTCCGACTTTCGCTTAGGTCATGATCTCGCGGTTCGTGGGTTCGAGCCCCGCGTCAGGCTCTGTGCTGACTGCCAGCTCAGAGCCTAGAGCCTGTTTCAGTCTGTGACTCCCTCTCTCTCTGACCCTCCCCTGCTCACGCTGTCTCTCTCTCTCTCTCTCCTAGAAATAAATAAAAAACATTAAAAAAATTAAAAAAAAAGAAAAGAAAGAAACTTGAAATAAATAGCGGGCCATACGCTGATAATGCAATCTTGTCTGCCGTTAGGTTCCTTTTTTTTCCCCTGAAGGTAAGTTTGGGAAATCCTGCCTCAATTTCAGCCAAATGGTGACTTTCTCGAGCTTCAGTCTTGAACTAAAAAAGGACTGTTTTTAAGGAAGAACTCTTGGAGAGTTTCAGGCCGGCGTTGGCAGTTACCAAAAAATAGAGCGGAAAACAAACCTAAGTACTCGGCGCTGAACACCCGCACCGAGGACCGGACGCTAGCTGGACGCAGCCACAGGTGCCGGCAGTTTCTCAAGGAGCCAATCGGCACACGACCCTGAGGCTGCCTCCCGAGCGTCCCCAGCGGTCAGGAGGAGGGAGGGCCTCCAGAAAAAAGAAGTAGGTGCAACTCCCAGCATGCAGTTCCCAAGAGACACACCCTAGCGTTGCCCCAGGAGACGTTTTGCCTATGTTTTCGTTTCTCTCCGCAGTCCCTGCCACCTGTGGGTGGGATTTCCACTTTTTGAGTTCTGTGAGAAACGGTTGGCAATGCTGCCTGCTTCAGGTTCGTTTGTTGTAAACCTGTAGATCGATGACGTTGCCCTTTTAATTGCGGTCGCTAGAGCCAGGGTGGCATTGCCTTTTTAAGGCCGGTAGCATCATGCTTCCGGGGGGCGTGGTCCGTCCTTAGGAATACCCGGCCTTGCGCTCGGCTGATTCATTCGGGGGCTGGAGCTAAAAGCGTCAACGTCGGCTTCTGCGCCGGGTGCAGTCTCGCTTCTAATTGGTTGGTCCTCGGACCGCCCTCCTCCACTCGCCACCTCTGGGTTCCCTCCCTGGTCCGCAGTAAGAACACTGCCTTCTCGTTTCTTGACCCCTGGGCCTTTCTCCCTTCGCTCCCCCCCTCTCGCCGCCGCTGTTGCTTTTGGCGCCCCTGCTCCCAGAGGAGCTCCCGGCTCGGTGATGGGGTCTCGGGCTTCCACGTTACTGCGGGATGAAGAGCTCGAGGAGATCAAGAAGGAGACTGGCTGTGAGTTCGGGTAGGGGGTGGGAACGTGGCTGGGCGCCTCAGGCTGGTCTCAGAACGGAGGAAGGCTGTCGTTGAGGTCTGGAGCTGGGGTTCCCAGAAATTGTCAGGGTCCTGGGCAGCCTCCAGCGCTGGAGCTTTGTGACCGAGGGCTAGAGCCGTAAGAACACGGCTACTCAGAGCGGGGCTCGGGCTCCTGTGGGGCTGTCCTTTCCTCTCAAGACGGGGAGTCCCGATCACTCTCAGAGCATAGGCACTGCCCTTTTCTCTTTCCTATGCTCATGAAAGCCCCTGGACTGCTTTGCTTTATCTTTCCTTGCACCAACCTCGAATTCAGGAGCCCTGGATGGATCCTGTAGAAAACATAATCCGTTCCTGTGACGGTTCTGGGCAAGTACTAAAAACCGCTGTCGACTGTGAGAAATCACAAATAAATTTCTGCCACAACTGTAAAAATAAATCCTGAAAGCAAGATCGTTTAGCAAGGCTTTGGAAGACATGATCTACTGACAGGAGACCTGAGAATGTGCGACTTCTTTCATTCTGAACCTGTGGAGAAAAAAGCACTGATACTGTGACCTCAGTTTTTTACTTATACTGAGGATGCTTGTTCTAATTTCAGATATATTGATTCCTACAGTGCTGGTGTGCTCTATGCAGTCGCTATGGAAATTGGATGTGCTCCAAAATCTCAGTGCAAATTTGTACTAGGAACTGATTTTTTTATAGTCCAGTCTCTTCCTCATTAACCTGAACATAGGGGCAACAGGGCTTTGGGAATTCAGAAGCTCTGTGTAACACCATCACACATTTTTTTAAAAAATGTTTATTTATTTATTTTGAGAGAGAGAGAGAATCCCAAGCAGGCTCCACACTGCCAGCGCAGAACCTGACATGGAGCTTGAACCTACGAACCATTACATCATGACTTCAGCCAAAACTAAGAGTTGGACACTTAACTGACTGCGCCACCCAGGCGCCCCACACATTTTTGTATAGCCTTTGATAATGCATAGAATATTTTCTCCATAATCCTTTATGATTCTTGTATTTTACATGAGTTATGTAAGTGTCTGAGCTCAGTCTCTTCATGATAATCTGTCTTTGATAATGAGGTGACTAGTCAGTAACTCAGTGGCCCGTAAGCAGGTAATGTTGAAGGGGGCGGGGGGAACTACAGAATTATTCAAGCAGTGGTAGCCTGAGAGAAATTAAATGCTGTCCTATGTTTTCTGACAAATACAACTTTCTAGAATCTTCAAGTTGGAAGGAATGTTATCTAGCTGTTGTCAGTTTGGTTTACTGCTTTCAGCATCCCCTAACATGGCCAATAGGTTCTCCATAAATACCTTTAAGGATGATGAGTGCCCTACCTACTGATTTTGGGTGAACGACAGAAAGTGGTTACCTGGTTTTAAGGTGTAATGCATGTTTGGCCACTTGACCTTATGGTCATTTTATGACTAATCAGATTCCCAAGAGTAGAAATAAAAGCAGTTTGGAATCAGTAAGCATTTTATTAAATTTTGTGGCCATTAGCTCTGGCCACACTTACAAATGTAAGGACTACTTTAGGTCTAAGGTGACACCAGAATTAAAGCATTCATACTTAAAATAGACAGTCATATTATGAGGAAGTTTAAGCCGTAGAGACGATGGAGAAAAGCTATTTTTGCCTCCAGGACAGGGGAGCACTAATCCCATTTGGGTTTATTTACATTTGACCAAATGGAAAGGTCCTGGACTGCTATAGAACTGTTGACTTATTTTACTGTGTGGCTCGTGGAGAAACAGAACTACATACTTCTGTAAGAGCTGTTTTCCTAATTGCCAAAATGTGAATCAAGCCTGACTGAGATTCTCCCACAACCAGTGCAAATAAATGTAAGTTGAACCAGAAAGCCTAACGAAACAAGTAGTTCTTGAATTTTTGCATTGTCTATATTTAGTCCTATGCTAGGTACTCAAAGTAAATAGTGACAAAAGATACCTTTAAGAGTTAGGATTTGGGGCGCCTGGGTGGCTTAGTCGGTTAAGCGTCCGACTTTCGCTTAGGTCATGATCTCGCGGTTCATGGGTTCGAGCCCCGCGTCGGGCTCTGTGCTGACTGGCAGCTCAGAGCCTGGAGCCTGTTTCGGTCTATATCTCCCTCTCTCTCTGACCCTCCCCTGCTCACGCTGTCTCTCTCTCTCTCCTAGAAATAAATGAAAAATTAAAAAAATAACAACATAACTTAAAAAAAAAAAAGAGTTAGGATTAGGTATTATGACATAAGGTAGCTGAAATTGTGTGCCACCCACCTCCAACAGTCAGGGAAGACTAGTCTGTGGGCTGATCTTGGGGAAAGCAGGAATTGGGCCCTAATGAATGCATGAATGGGTTAGATTTAGATAAATTAACCTAGGGTGTTTTGAGTGGCTTCCACGACCATTCTCCCCCAGTCTCCTACACAGTCATTGCTCTGCCCTGGGAGTTGAGCCATCAGTTTATCTGGTTAGTATCCATCAGCAGAGTTGATTTTTAAAGCAGTAATTTTAACATGATGCAAAAGATTTAGATGACTAAAAACAGATACCTGAGGGTGAGGTGAAGAGCTGGAATTTGTCCTACTTTTATTGGCTTCTTGTTCCATTAAGAGTTTGGGGAACTATCAGAAACACTTTCAAGTTAAGGACAAGTAGTAAGGCATTTCACTACTTCCTTTGTCAGTAAGAAAATGTAACATAACTGAGGAAAACTGACTTTATATTCAATATGAAAGGTTTACATTGGAATTAATGATTATATTTAAACATGTTTTTCAGAAGTCTAAATTGATTAGAATTCATGTATGACTGGTTTAGCCAGTATTTGAAATTTAATCTCTTAAGTGTCTGGCAAACTAATACTAGGTAAGAATTACCTGTTAGCCTCAGTTCCGTCATCTTCAAATGAGAATAATAATAGTATCTACTTTATAGGATTCTTCTGAGGATTAAATAAGATAAATTTTGTAAACTACTCAGAATAGTGCCTGATATTGAATTGCCAGGTAAGTGTCAGCTATTATTTTGAACCATAGATAAGAATCATTTTACTGGGAAAATATTTTCATGTGCTAGTATAAAACTATGTCTAGAGCTGTGTAAGAGGGGAGGTGACAGCATTTTACATGTTTCCTATTTTCAGGGGACATGAGTAGGAATTGAATACAGATGTCATTTTCCCAACTCTATAGAAATAAAACTTTTAAAGGAATAGAAATCTTGATCTTTCAAACAGTTTAAACAATACCCTCTAAAACATTCATGGGGACCCTAGGTGGCTCAGTCAGTTGACCGTGTGACTTCGGCTGAGGTCATGATCTTGAGGTTTGTGAGTTGGAGTCCTGCACAGGGCTGTCTGCTCTAAGTATGTAGCCCACCTCGGATCCTCTGCCCTCCTCTCTCTGCCCCTGCCACACTTAAACTCTCTCTTTTAAAAAGAACAAATATTAAAAAAAAAAACTTTAGGGGCGCCTACGTGGCTCAGTCAGTTAAGCGTCCGACTCTTGGTTTCAGCTCAAGTCACGATCTCATGGTTCCCGAATTCAAGAACCATGAGCCTGACAGCTCAGAGCCTGCTTGGGATTCTCTCTCTCTCTCTCTCTCTCTCTCTCTCTCTCTCTCTCCCCCTCTCTCCCTCCCTCCCTCTCTCCCTCTCCCCCTCCCTCTCTTTCTCCCCTTCCCCCATTTACTCTTTCTGTCACAAAATAAATAACAAAAAAGTACTGGCTTAAAAAAAAAAAGTTTAAAACATTTCATGTTGGGAGGCACCTGCCTGGCTCAGTTTGTAGAGCATCTGGCTCTCGATCTTGGGGTCACGAGTTTGAGCCCCACGTTGGGAACAAAGATCACTTAAATAAAACTGTATAAAATAAAAATTAAAGAAGACTAAAGCATTTTATGTTGGCATAAGACATTTGCTGTAATTTCTTTGTTTTATTCTTTCACAGTTGTGCATTTTCATAAATTAAAACTCGGTTGAATAAAACTTGTCATGGGGGAAAGTCACAAAGGTTTTGGGAGTTTCTATAATCTCCACACTTAATTCTTTTAACTGTAGCAAAAATATGGCTGTGGCTTACTTAAAACCATCTTTTAAAAATAGCCACTTAATCTGTGAGAAACAGTTCAAATCAAGAGTAGTAATGAATGCATGTTAATTGATTAATTTTAGGGAGAAAGAGAACGTGCAGGGGAGAGGGGCAGAGGGAGAGAAAGAGGACCTTAAGCAGATTCCATGCCCAGTGTGGAGCCACATGTGGGGCTCGATCCCACAACCCTGGGAGCATGTCCTGAACTGAAGTAAAGAGTTGGACACTGAACTGACTGAGCCACTCAGATATCCAATGGTCATTTATTTTTTTTTTAAGTTTTTATTTATTTCTGCAAGAGAGAGAGAGAGAGAGACAGAGTGAGCAGAGGAGGGTCAGAGAGAGAGGGAGGCATAGAATCTGAAACAGGCTC